TTGTAACGGTGCTGATTGGATTGTGTTTGACAGATATGGAGTCTGGAGAGCGGCTGGCCTCCCCCGCGCCCCCCACCCTGCCCACCGCTCGCACCTCCTCCCCTGCTGCCTCCTCTTCCTCCTCCTCCTCGTCCTCCCCGGCTCCCCACTCCAAGAGCAGTCTGGCCCCCAGCCCTGCAGCCTCACTGGGATCCACCCTCAGCACCTCTGGTAAGACTGCTTCATCACTCCGCGCCATGCATCACACACACACACACATACACACACACACATACACTGTCAGCACTCTGTTAAGCCGCACATTACTAAATACACAAAATATACTATACACTTCCTAAAAATGCACACAGAGACTGGTTTACATAGATACTGGTTTACAGAGAGACTGTTTTACAGAGAGACTGGTTTACAGAGAGACTGGTTTACATATTTGTTAGATTTTTATTTCCCATTTATAACCACGGTCTGCATAACGCCTCAATGAATATTGTCAAGCATATTAGCTGTGCACTGTGTAATGAGTGGCATAGAAACTAAAAAACCCTCATGATTCACCTTTAACTCAAAGTTATCCTTTTTTCAGCATGAGGAAGGATGAGTTTAATGCGTTGCTGACTTCCCCCCAGTATTAATTATGTAGTTATTGTTAGGTCTGTGAAACACCTTTTCTCGCAGACTCTGCCTTCCTCTGACAGCTTGGGTTGCTGCTGAAAAGCTGCTGCATTAATGAAGCCCAAACAATTAGAAAGCCTCTTTTGTGTAATACGGAACACACACACACACACACACACACTGCTCGCCAATGTCTCCTGACAACCTCTTGCTATGTGGCTGCGTCACTGATTTGTGTGTGTGTGTGTGTGTGTGTGTGTGTGTGTGTGTGTGTGTGTGTGTGTCTCAGGCCGTGCCTGCGTGATTTAACATGTCTGTCAGCCGCTCAGTGTCTTCGTGCCAGCTCCAAACACCCAGACCCTTTCTCTGCATTCTAATTGTGGTCTCGGAGCCATTAGAGAGCATGAGGAACACACACACACACACACACACACACACACACACACACACACACACACACACACACACACACACACACACACACACACACAGGAGTCAACAGATCACACTGACCAGCAAATAGCATGCAAATTTCACACTGCAGTCGTTGTGTTGTCTTTCTCTTTCATGATAAGAAAAGCGAAAAAAATAAAGCCCACAGTTTTTCTCTCTCTCTCTCTCTTTCTCTCCCCCGTGTTGCTCCAATGAAGCAGCCATTAGTCCGTCTTCTCATGCATTATACATTCCCCATATCCCTCTGCGCCATAACCTGTTCTCAGATTGTCTAGATAAGTGATTTTGGGCTGAGCGTCGAATGAAATGCTGAGAGGCAGGCTTCTAGCTCTGAAGTTGTGCTAAGCTTGATCAAGCCAAGCAAGAGTTATTTCATATGAGACGTCTTGTTCCCATGTGGAGCGGAATCTAACAATGATGATTTATATGAATGATGAATGATATGTACTGTACATATTATATACCCACTGATGTTGAAATGCCTAAATTGAGTACAGAGCCCCCCACCACCAGCAAATCCCTAATTGTTAGTCTACATTGCATTTACATTGTTTTAGACCTACTGGTTGAATTGCTTTTACATATAGTTCGTTCCACAGTTATGTTTTGGTTTCATATTGAGATGCATTGCTGTAGTTTTTCATTTCTCATACAGTACTCTTTCAATACGCTTTTAAAGCTATTGGAACGTGATGGAGAAGGTAGATTCATCTTCCTGCCACCTACACTAGTCACAATTAAAGGAATAGCCACTCTGTGCTAATGGAACATGAGGTTGTGACATCCGATTCAGTAACTAGGAGCCATTTTAACAGTAATAACACACCTCTATTATCATATGAAAGCCATTGGAACTATTTGTTGTTGTGGCGGATTCTTGCCACAGAGGTATCAGCACAGCAGAGAGAGGAATTAATTCAAGGTCTTTTGCCAACCTGCCAATACCACTTGAGAAAAACTTTGAAGAAATCTCAGATGAGCAAGAACAGTGGTGGAAGGAGATGGGGGGGGGGGGGGGGGGGGGGGGTAGAGGGGGGCATGGAGTGTGTCATTGATGAGGATATCACTTTGAAAAAGCCCGGGCGCATGTTGCACTCTTTTCCTACTGGGATCGGCTCACGGATGCAATTAACTTTAAATCTGTCCATGGAAATTTGATTGACTGCAACAAACAACAAATTAATCCCCCTTCGGCTAGCATCCTCCGAACATGGAAAAAAAAGGCCCAGTGCTTTTTTAGAACGCAGTGAGTTTGTCAGAGAGAGTGGAGGAGGGTGGAGGAGAGTGAGAGAGAGAATATCAGGTAATCCTGTATTTCTGCTCTGCTGCTCTCTTCTCTCCAAATTTCTGATTTAATTATTCTCCAGCTGGAAGCGCATTAATATTGAAAAGGCATTTGCAGATGTCACTCTGTTGCTCGGGGAAGGTCGGTCGAGGCAAGATTGACGGGCGGGTTGGCGGGAGGGAGTTGCGACGGAAGTGGCTGCTTGCTGCTGGCCTTTCAGGGTTGTGTTTTGTATTTTCAGTCATTTGTTTCCGTATCCGCTAGCTGACTTTGGCAAGGCAAGGCACTCCATATTCAGCATATTCTAATTAGGTACACAAGGTGTTTCTCTTCTCTGCCGTGGTGCAGCAGACTGCAAAGACGAGGGCCTTGAAGCCCACTCTGCCTCTGGCTGGCACGCTTTGTTTCCCACCCCACCTCCCACTAAGCATTTAAACTCCGCTTGCCACATGCAAATACACCTTTTTATTAGCCTATTAGGATTTTGAAGATATCTTCCTCAATCTCCTTAAACTTCCATATTACTGGTTTACAATATGGAGATAGCATTTAGGCCATTTTAGGAATCTGCCTCTAGGGAAATCACACGTTTACATTTCATTAGTCTTGAATTGCTGTGGAAAAGATGCTCCCAGCGTTAGGCCTAAAGTGCGTTTTGTGCACTTTTTATGATATTGTAGGTACACAGTCCGACCTAATGTCGAGGAGTTGGAACATGAACACGTTCCTCTCTTCTGTAAGTGAGAGAATGTAATTATAACTCAGGCTTAACCAACCAGACAGTTATGTTATGTAATGGGATGTTATGGACTTTTTTTGATTTATTCCCTTGATCATCTCAGCAATTTAGCCTCAACGTTGTATTGTTACTTCATGCTCCCATAATTATATTGTTGATTATATGTGGCTGTCTTAGGGCAAAATGAAAGTACTTTAGCTTAGGCCTAATTACGTTGAGTTTTTCCTCAGTTATGACAGCCAGTCAAGCGGGCACAAAGGTTCTGGTTCTTTTCTGTGCGTCTCAACTCCATCATCTGATTCTGTAGAACTTGGGGGCATCACACTCACACAGCACTCACTGGGTGTGTTGTAGGTTGACATTTTCACAAGCTCAGTGAATAACACTTTACTTCTCCTGTCATCACTTTTTATGCATATGTATTACGCCCCAGCCTCCCTCCCTCTACCAGCCTCTCTCTCTCTCTCTCTCTCTCTCTCTCTCTCTCTCTCTCTCTCTCTCTCTCTCTCTCTCTCTCTCTCTCTCTCTCTCTCTCTCTCTCTCTCTTTCTCTCTCTCTCTCTTTCTCTCACCCCTCTGTAATGGAAATTGAATTTGCATGAAATATGCTCAGACCAAATTGCATCTGACTGTGCGAGGAGACAATGCGCTCTGGTTTCCCTGCCAGAAATGATTATACTCAGGTTTAGGTGAAAGCTTGATGATGATCGTGTTGAAGTATTAATCTTTTTTTGGGCAGTGTGCTGCTGAAATTTAATTCAAAAAAGGTTTGGAGGAAAGAATTAGGAAGAGGCTATATCACAGGTATGCCTCTCAAACACCACACACAGCTGGTGTATTAAAGAACTGTGACTTGCTTGTTATTCGGGCTACCACTGATTTAGCCTATTTGAGCTTGTTTCATTTGCATGGTGATAGACACAATGGAGGAGGGATCTGTCCTATACAGTACCTGCAGAAACACTTCAATTACACTTCCAGCTGTCTAAATGTCCCGCTGCTCAGCCCGCATCAGTTTCAAGTTTCTTGGTAAATACAAAATTGAATACTTATGCAAATGTCTTGCCGTTTAGTTTTTAACTTTGCCCCTAAGAACATTCTCTTTGTAGTCTAATTAAACAAATCAGTTCCTCGTCAGAAAATATCATATGAATTGTCGACTGTGATTGCTCTTTTTGTGTTCTTCTCTCTCTCTCCCCTGCTGAAGTACAGCCTAGAGCTCCGTCTATCTAGAACATGCATGATGCCCCTCGGAGACACTCTCCCCTCGGAGTAGTGTCTCTGTCTCAGTCACTCTCATCTGAGCTGCTCTGTTCTGGATTTGCACAAGCATGTGTAATCCTGTCAAGCTCCAATCCAGGGCAATCTTTGTCCTTTACGCTGCCTAATGTCTTGTTGAATATACATAAAACATCATCTTACCCAGCAGAAAACCTGGAGGGAGAGAGGAGAAAACGTCATTAAACTTTAACACACAGAAGGGATGTATACCTAAGAAGCCAGCGAGTCAGGGTATTCTGAGGGCACGACGAACCCTCGAGTCATCTCTGAATTCAATTAAGTTCAAGAAAAACTTAATTTATACCCCAAACAGAAGCACACTGCTGATCAAATCAAATGTTACTTGTCACATGGTTCGTAAACAACAGGTGTGGACTAACAGTGATATGCTTTCTTCCGGACCCTTCCCAACAATGCAGAGAGAAAGAAAATAGAGAAATAATAGAAAAGTAAAATAATAATAAAAGTAATAATAAATACACAATGAGTAATGTGACAACTGCTGATGTGACTGCTGAAGTAAAAAGGACTTAGTAAATACATTTGATTGATTTATAGTTTTTTTATACATTTGATTGATTTATAGTTTTTTTGTGCTGTTTGACCATCCGCAGGTCTTTTGTATGGGGCGATGAGCGACCAGCAGCCCTACACCTTGTCAAGTGCCTTCCCCCTGGTCAGCCACCCAGCCTTCGGCCTGTACACCACCAGCTCAGGACGCCCAGAGTTCGGAGGCCTGGGGTCGTTGGGGTCCCTGGGTTCTCTGGGGTCCTTGGGGATGTCTGCGGCCCTGGCCGCACATCCCCAGCTGGGAGCTCTGACAGGTAAGAGGAGGGCCGGGTGTGGAGCTTGGACAGATGTAACATGACTGGGTCCAGGAGATTTACTTGACCTGAACAGCAGATTAATGAAACAGGATGACTAATCAGTATTTAAGTGTGTGCTAACTTCTAATACTCTTTAGGCAATTGTAATTGATATTCAGTACTGAAGTTAGTGGATGTGACAGAGTGGCACTGACATGTCGCTGTCCTCTCTCTTCATCAGAATGGTGGCGAGCAGCAGAGGCCCACAGTAGAGGTGCAGCAGCCTTCCTCCCCCCGTTCCTGGGCCTCTCCACAATGTTCACCCCCCATATCCAGCAGAACCACAGCCCCAGCCCCCTGCATCCCCCCTCCAGGACCCCCAGCAAAAACGGACAGACCCCCAAAGGTACAGCAACACCCAGCCTTCTTACATTGAACCTTTACAAATGCTTCATTTTGAACTGAGAACAAAGGTGATAATTGCGACACTTTCTGTGCTCATCAGGGGAAAATGTATTGTATTGTACCTGTATATGGGCACAGAGTGTGAAAGAGCTTCTCACACCTGTTCAAAAGCGGCAAATAATTTTACCGCCAGGAAATAAAAGGTACCCTTAAGAGGGTGAGGTATTTAAAGCGCAACGTTTTTTACCCCTCTGGCAATTGCAAGAGATGTGAATGAATTAATCATTCCTGTAAGCAGGTGGTGGAAACTGTTCACAGGGATTAAGTGAGAGGCTCCCTAGTCTTTGCAGTCTCCGGCTCCTTGATGAGATTTCTCCCATAGAGAACCTTATAATGACTTCCAGTCTCAGTAAATGGCATATATGCTGGATTTTTTTCATCTTCTCTCTATCGTTTTCTCTCTCTCTCTATCTCGCTCTTTCTCTCTCACACACTATCTCTCTCGCTCTCTGTCTCTGTCTCTGTCTGTCTCTCGCTCTCTGTCTCTCTGTCTCTGTCTCTCTCTCTCTCTCTCTGTACCTTTTCTCTCTCAATCAAATGTTTTCATTTGACGCTATCTCTCTCTCTCTCTCTCTCTCTCTCTCTCTCTGTCTCTGTCTCTCTCTCTTCTCTCTCTCTCTCTCTCTCTCTCTCTCTCTCTCTCTGCACCCTTTCTCTCTCAATCAAATTTTTTCATTTGATGCTATCTTTTAATTTATCTTTTATTATGTAAACCACTCATGTTGTGCTCACACCATGTTCAGCATGCCTAAATGAGATACACATAAATACATATTTTCTTAAGGGTTTTTATTCTATTCCGCATTCAGAAGAACCCCAGATGTTTCATAGGCGTTTTTACTCGCAATGTCTCAAATGAGATTGAGATGATATGTAACAGTGTGCCGTGCCTCTTTCCATGCGATTTCAGGGGTGAACGGGGCAGTGAACGGAAGCGGGCTCTCCTCCCCAACCATGCAGGGGTCATACTCCATGAGCGCGTCCCCATCCCTGGGTGCTTCCCAGGCTGTTAAGGGCCCCAACCCCAAGGCCAGGGGCCCCAGGAGCAGCCCTCACAGCCAGAGCCACACAGCAGAGCTACAGCTGGAGAAAGCGCCCCACAAACCTAAAGACAAGGTCAGCTCAATGATTTAGTGGCGCTAGATTACTGATGAATGTAGACCGTGTTGGCTGACAACGTCACGAAAATGATGCACGCACATCGATGTGGCCGGAAGCCGCGTTGTTATGATTCTGAATGCTCAGATAGCTAGCAACAATGACAAGAAGTCTGCCATGTGGGGAATCGTAGGAGGCTCGTTCCAGCTCGTTGTATTATGTTATTGATACCATGTCTTGTTTTGAGGTGTTTTGACGGATTTCATGTCAATGCTAATATGGCTAAACATTTGCTAGTGCTCATTATACAATTGTATTTATGTTTTCAATAAATATTTGGAGATTAAATATAGATTACATGTTGTCAACAGTCTAAGCCAACTCTGTCTGTTTTGCACCATAGTTGTGCACGCGTCGGTTTTGTTGCTAAAAACCAACTCGTCTATAGCTATAGTAAAGCCTGAAGTATTTGACTTGGGGTCTATTTTGGACGTTTTTAGTTTTCCATTTCCGGTTTAGAAACAAAAATCAAATGGTCAAAAAGTACACTGGGTGCTTTATTGATTGGCAGCTCTCTGCCCTAATGCAGAAGCCCGGTAAGAAGCCAGCAGAGGTCGCTGGGGTCAGTGACAGCGAATCAGGCTCATCCTCGGACAGCTCCAGCGACGGAGCCATCAGCAGCGACCTGGAGGACCTCGGAGGGGAAGAGGAGGACGACGATGATGATGACGACGATGAGGATGAGGAAGAGGATGGAAAGAGTGAGGCGTGGAACTCGGAGAAGGAGAAGACGAGGCGGGCGAAGAAAAAAATGAAGGTAGAGTGATAGTGAATAGTACTGGTAGTGTATAGCTACTTATGTCTGTGATGTGCTCCTGGGTGAGCTAACAGCAGGCTTCCTCTCCTCTCCTCCCTCCCCAGATCGGGACACTAAGCTCGGGCATGAAGGAGGCCCAAGACAAGAGGAACAGCGTGCCCTCTGACCCCCACACCCTGGTCCCCTCACAGCACTCCCCCTCTCCTCCTACCTTGTCCCAGAGCTCCCCCCTGTCTCTCCAGACCTCCCGGCCCAGGAAGGAGGGTCTCCAGCAGCACCTTAGTGTCATCCAGTCCACGGGCCTAGCAGCCAGCTCCAAGCCCCTAGCCTTCCTCACCCACCCCTGCAGGGAAACCTCCCCATCACCCCTCTCTGCCTCTCCAATCCCCCTCATCACCTCCCCCAAAGGACGTACCACAGCTTCCCCTAAGCCGCCCAAGCTCCTGCCCTCCTCGCCACAGCACCTGCCCCTGTCCCTCTGCTCCTCCCCCAAGCCCCTGTCGGTGCCCTCCCTGTCCCGCTCCGTACCCCTGTCCTCCTCGCCTCAATCCTTCCCTCTCCTCACGTCACCCATGGCCAACTCCCAGCAGCCCAAGCCTCTGAAGACACCTGGCAGTGGGAAGGCCAGTAAGAGGAAGCTGCTGGAGGAATCACTCTCTCAGATCAACGAATTCAGGCTCAAACAGGTTGGTCCACTGTTCTCTCTGCACAGCCACTAGCAAGGAATATGGCGCTAAGAGTATCCCAGTATTCACACAGTAGCTATTTTTCCCGTGGTCAAATAATACCACAGACTGGTTACTGGCTAGTATAAGCTTTTCACCTAATTTTGATCATCTAAAAGCGGTCAAACATGAAACGGTTTCTCCTTTCACAGTTCGAAGGTTGTTCGTATTCATGGTAACATACTGTAGATGAGCTACAGTACGAGGGCTGCTTCCAGCCAGAGGGAGTCAGAGAGGGAAGTGTCAGTCCTGTCTGAGTCATTTGATTGGGTGTCCTGCTGTGCTGCTCAGCCTGTAAACCAAAAGGTCAATGCTTTTGGCCTCATTACCTCAGCAAAGCAGACGGCACGTATAGCTACTGTATGTACATGTATATATTACTGTTTTACTCTCCATTTAATACAGTCACAACTCAATAGAAAATATACATAGTTATCACCTTTTACAGTGGATTGTGGACCTCTCGGATATAGTCGAAATGATAATTGAAATAGTAGTTAATTGATGAGGCTAATTCCTATGGCTCCAGCCTTCTAGAAGTGGAAAATGTAGCCTTTTCCCTTGTTCTATTTTACCAGTGGAGAGGTTATTGTGGAACCAAAGGCCTCTGCATTCCCCCAGTGGTTCAGTAACTGTTACTGTATTACATGGTCTGTGAAATTGATTTGTTTCACTTCATATCACATCTAGTTGAATGTACATGTCGAAGCCCTTACCTGTGTTTGCTGAAACACGGTGCAACGCCAAACGTGACTGTCGTTATATCAAATCTGCCGTTGTGCTGTTTAAAGTAAAACACAGATGCATGACGCTAACACTTTTCACAGACTCATAACTGTGGTAATTTAAGTGAGATACAGGAACTGTATCAGCGGCTTTACTCTTTACTTAGTACAATGCCTGTGGTTATTGCCATGTTATATGCCATTGTCTCCAGGCCTTCTGTCCTAGGCACAGTGAGACAGAGTGAGCCAGGCATTGTGCTTCATCACCAGCTTGAATAATCGACGTAGATGCAAATTGACAGCTGGCACAATTATGCTGTTTTATTTTTTATTTTCCCTTCTTTTATTCCCCTCCCTCCCTCCCTCCCTCCCTCCCTCCCTCCCTCCGTTCCAGTCTTTACTCTCGCAAGGCCAGACGTTCCCGGCAGCACAGCCCAAGAAGCAGCAGGGTCACAAAACCTCTAGGAAGGCTGCTGGGGTGACGTCATCCTCCTTGCCGCCCCCCAAGCTCTCCTCCTCGGAGAGTCCGGGTGGCGATGGCGGTGGTAGAAGCACCAAGCTGCCCCCTGCTCCCCTCCCCCCTCCCCCCCAGAACAACCACTCCAACCTCTTCCTGTCCAGCGCTCTCCTGGGCCTAGCTGCCCACCCCAACGGAGTCATCCAAAGCACCACCGCTCAGGACGCGCCGCTGTCCCTTATCACCAAGCCCCGCAAGGACCCCAACAAGGACCTCTCTGGGGCAGGGGCGTCCCTCTCGCTGCCCGTCAACCTCAGCATCAGTGGAAGGGCCCACTCGGCCTCCTCTCAGGGCCCCCCGGCACGGCCCGCTACCTCACCCTCACCGGCCACGGCCCGGGGCCCCAGGAAGATCAAGGCCCCCAAGGCCCCTAAGCTCCAGGCCCCTAACCTCCAGGTTCAGGCCCAGGCTCTGGCCCCCATGGCAGCCTGGAAGGGCCTCTCTCAGAGCCACCTGGTGCAGTCTCTGGTGGACCTGTTCAGAGGGGCCGAGGCCGGTCTTCCAGGTCTCCCTGGTCTCCCTAGCAGCAAGGACTCGGATGACTCTGTTGAGGATGACGACGACGATGATGATGATGATGATGATCTGGATGATTTGGAGGATGATGAGGAGGACTCGGATGACAGCTTGTCAGGTTAGATACCTACTGTCTGACCATCCTAATGGAATGCACATGCAATCTTTGTAGTGTACAGTTTTTTGGGGGTTATGGTGATGTACAATAGTGAACACCATTCAACCATTGCTGAGTCTCCCATTGATACGCTCTCTCTTTCTGGTACCCTCCTCTCAGATTCTGACAGTAACTCGGACAGCGACGCGGACGTCTCCGGTGGCAAACTGAAGGACCTGAAGCTGAAGTTGCCATCATCAGGCTCCGCCTCCAAGAGGGAGAAGACCCCACTCAAGCTAACCAAAGGCCACGCCTCCTTACTGAGCAACTCAACCAATCACACGGCCACAAGCTGCTCCCCGCTCAACCTGCAGGTCATCAAGATGCCCAACATCGTCACCAGCTCCAGCTCCAGCTCCAGTGCCTTGGCCTATCACAGCTCTCCTTCCTCCTCCTACTCCCTGGCCATGCCCCCAGGTAACCGCAGGCAACACACCTTAAACGCCCGGTACATTGTCAAAGCCGCTCAAGTTTTAAATCGCCCTGTAACCGCAAATCTAGCATCAGATTACCCTAACTAACCCCTATCCCAACCTTAAACATTAGGGGGATGACAAAATATCTGACCCTGTATCAGTTGTTATGGCCAACTTCTTTACCTACTCTGCCAAAGCTACTCATACAGCACAAGCACAAAACCAGTCTGCAAAAACACCTAGCTGTACCTTTAACTGTTGAGGACACGTAACCACACTGGAATAGCTAAGCTCACACATGGCATTATATGCTGTCATCTTCAGATGGCTGTGGGAAGAGAACAGGGAGAGGAAAAGGGGGGTCTATTTTTAGTTAGCCGAGCGGTTGGCTGGCTTAAGCGGCCCTGGGTTCCTGTAGGTGCATGTCCTTGGGCTTAACAGGCCTGACAACTTGTTTGGCACTTCTGCCGTGCCGAGGTTTCTTTCTTTCATTCCCCTCTCCTCTCCTCCCTCTCTCTCTCAGCACTGGGAGATTACACAGCTTAGGAAAGGAAAGAACACACACACAGACACAACAAGGAAGACCGGAATTTTCCAACAGAGATTCCAATCTTCCTAAGCACGTTTAAATTCAAAATGCTTTATTGTCCATCAAATTCACATAAGAATGTCAGTGATTTTTCAGGGCATATTTGAGTAATTTCCTTAAGTTGCCTTCAGGGCATGGGGTTTCTCAATACTCTACCTGGTTAAATAAAGGTAATTCATAAACAACAAGGCACTCTCATGGCCACATCTGGTGGGGTTTGATACACAGTGGACACGCTTGAGGCAGCGCTCCAGTCAATAGGAGAAGGCACACCTTTGATCTGCCTGTGGATTGATTGTAACCAGCCAGGCCTGCATAGTGGAGTGTGCCCCAGCAGCCCCAATTGTCTCACACAATGAAACACTGCTCATATTCAGTACTGAGATGCTGTGGCTATGGGTGGGTGTTTTGGGCAGTAGCTCTGCGTGGGGCTGTAGCTGGGTGTTTAGGGCTATGGAGAGAGGCTGTGACTGTGTATTGTTCAGTTTGACTAACGGGCTCTCTCTCTCTCTCTCTCTCGTTCTCTCGCTCGCTCTCTCTCCAGGCGCAGGGAAAAGAAAGAGGGTGATGGATGAGCAGGAGTTGAGAATACCTCTGGAGTTGGGGTAGGTAGAGTGGAGACTTGAATTAATAGGCTCTCTTTAGCAATGGCAAAGTCTCTGGCATTCGGTCACTCACTCACAGTTTCCTTCCTCCCATGTGTTTAACAGTTGGCAGAGAGAAACCCGGATCAAGAACGTGTCTGGGAAGATACAAGGTGACGTGGCGTACTACGCGCCATGCGGGAAGAAGCTGAGGCAGTACCCAGATGTGGTGAAGGTAACAGTAACACTTCCTGTTAGACTAGCCTTACGCTAGCAACTAGCCTCACCCTCACGCTAGTGCTCACTTAGCATCAACGCTAACCCCTGTGACCTTAACATAAGAAGAGCTGGAATCCTTTTAGTTCATTTCCCCAATCCCTTCCTCTGCCTACTAAAAGCTGACCAGTTGTTAGAGCATTCTGATTCTCACTGTGCTTTTGCTCGATTTCCCCCTAATGCTTTTGATGCTTAGTAGTAGAATCGTCACTTTAGTTTTTAGCTTCCGCCACTGTAGCTAGATCGCTTTCAATGTCACACTTTTACATACTTTCACATTGGATATCCCTGTCTCACCAAACGTCATTATTTTCTCTTCTGTAGTATCTATCCAGAAATGGAATAAGTGGCATCACACGCGATAATTTTAGCTTCAGTGCAAAGATAATGGTTGGTGACTTCTATGAAGCCAGAGAAGGACCCCAGGTGACGTCTTTCATCTATCTATTGCCCGTTTTATTTTTTGATTTCCTCTTTTCATGTACAGTAGGAACAGTAGAAGTGAATTCAGCAGTTCAGGGACATAGATATACATCAGCTATAGACTCCAGTAGTCCTACTCCCTAGCCCCCTTTGTATAGGGAGTAATGTAATAATCAGTTGACATTACTTCCACAGGTGACCAGTCATATACTGTACAGTAGGATAGTTTAACTAGCTGAATGGTGAATGGAATGTGTTGTAGTGGTGTTCATATCACAGGTAGAAATTGGACAATTATCCGGTTCATAGCTTTGTAGTCCAGTAATACCACCATACATTGCATATTTTGATCTTTGATCTGCCCTCTTTTCTCTCATGAGTGATCTATATAAAGAGTAAAACCTAGAGTAACAGTAGAGTAATAAAAACAACTAAAGTATTTTGAAGCCGTTTATTACCCACACTAGACTAACACCCCCTCTACCCTGTTGTTTCGCCCGTCCTACCCTCAGGGTCTGCAGTGGAGCCTGCTGAAGGACGAGGATGTCATCCCTCATATCCTGGCCATGGAGGGCCGGCGGGGACGGCCCCCCAACTTAGAGCGCCAGCGGGGGGGCGAGGGGGGCAAGGGCTCCCGGAGGAGGAAGGGCCGGCCGCCCAACGTGGGAGAGGGTCTGGGGTTGGGGGCAGAGGTGCCTAGCCCCAGTGAGGCCAAACTCTTACGCAAACTGGAGGCCCAAGGTGAGGAGGAAAAACCCCAACCAGATCTCCATTTGAAGTCTATGAATGCAACCTACCAAACATGTTTGGTCACACAGTAACATTCCATCACCTCTCTCTGCAGAGATAGCCAGGCAGGCGGCCCAGATGAAGATGATGAGGAAGCTGGAGAAGCAGGCCATGGCCAGGGCAGCGAAAGAGGCCAGGAAGCAACAAGGTACACTACATAACATCTGAGTGCATCCACCATTCCCCACTGTCCTCTTGTATATACAGTTGAAGTCGGAAGTTTACATACACCTCAGCCAAATACATTTAAACTCAGTTTTTCACAATTCCTGACATTTAATCCTAGTAAAAATTCCCTGTCTTAGGTCAGTTAGGATCACCACTTTATTTTAAGAATGTGAAATGTCAGAATAATAGTAGAGAGAGTGATTTATTTCAGCTTTTATTTCTTTCATCAAATTCTTAGTGGGTCAGAAGTTTTCATACACTCAATTAGTATTTGGTAGCATTGCCTTTAAATTGTTTAACTTGGATCAAACGTTTCGGGTAGCCTTCCACAATCTTTCCACAATAAGTTGGGTGAATTTTGGCCCATTCTTCCTGACAGAGCTGGTTTGTAGGCCTCCTTGCTCGCACACGCTTTATCAGTTCTGCCCACACATTTTCTATAGGATTGAGGTCAGGGCTTTGTGATGGTCACTCCAATACCTTGACTTTGTTGTCCTTAAGCCATTTTGCCACAACTTTGGAAGTATGATTGGGGTCATTGTCCATTTGGAAGACCCATTTGCGACCAAGCTTTAACTTCCTGACTGATGTCTTGAGATGTTGCTTCAATATATCCACATAATTTTCCTTCCTTATGATGCCATCTATGTTGTAAAGTGCACCAGTCCCTCCTGGAGCAAAGCACCCCCACAGCATGATGCTGCCACCTCCGTCCTTCACGGTTGGGATGGTGTTCTTTGGCTTGCAAGCTCCCCCTTTTTCCTCCAAATATAACGATGGTCATTATGGCCAAACAGTTCTATTTTTGTTTCATCAGACCATTTCTCCAAAAAGTACAATCTTTGTCCCCATGTGCAGTTGCAAACCTTAGTCTGGCTTTTTTATGGCGGTTTTGGAGCAGTGGCTTCTTCCTTGCTGAGCGGCCTTTCAGGTTATGTCGATATAGGACTCGTTTTACTGTGGATATAGATACTTTTGTACCGGTTTCCTCCAGCATCTTCACAAGGTCGTTTGCTATTGTTCTGGGATTGATTTGCACTTTTCGCACCAAAGTACGTTCATCTCTAGGAGACAGAACACGTCTCCTTCCTGAGTGGTATGACGGCTGCGTGGTCCCATGGTGTTTATACTTGCGTACTATTGTTTGTACTGATGAACGTGGTACCTTCAGGTGTTTGGTAATTGCTCCCAATGATGAACCAGACTTGTGGAGGTCTACAATTTCTTTTCTGAGGTCTTGGCTGATTTCTTTTGATTTTCCCATGATGTCAAGCAAAGAGGCACTGAGTTTGTAGGTAGGCCTTGAAATACATCCACAGGTACACCTCCAAATGACTCAAATGATGTCAATTAGCCTATCAGAAGCTTCTAAAGCCATGACATCATTTTCTGGAATTTTCCAAGCTGTTTAAAGGCACAGTCAACTTAGTGTATGTAAACTTCTGACCCACTGGAATTGTGATACAGTGAATTATAAGTGAAATAATCTGTCTGTAAACAATTGTTGGAAAAATTACTTGTGTCATGCACAAAGTAG